ATGCGGGGCAATAATAATAAAAACAAGAGAAAAAACAGCGCCGACGCGTCCCTGCGCAAACGCCAGAAGAAACAGTTCTCACTGCATGCCCACGTGGGGGTTGTTCCCGCCACCGCCACCGCCACCGCCCACGTCATATCGACACCCCCTTCCGCCCCTCGATGAGCTCGGCCACAATGCCTGGGTCGGCGAGGGTCGTGACGTCGTCAAGGTCGTCAAATGTGCCGGCGGCAATTTTGCGCAGGATGCGGCGCATAATCTTGCCGGACCGCGTCTTGGGAAGCCCAGACTGCGCCGGGTGGACGTGATCGGGCGTCGCCAGCGGCCCAATCACCTTGCGGACCGTCTCCTTCACGGAGGTGAGAAGCGCCTTGTCGATGGTGACGTGCGTGTGAAACGTGACGTACACGTAAATGCCTTCCCCCTTCACGTCGTGCGGGACGCCAACCACGGCGCTCTCCACGACGGCGGGGTGCGTGTTCACTGCGTCCTCCACCTCGCTGGTGCCGATGCGGTGGCCACTGACGTTCAGCACGTCGTCGACGCGGCCGGTGATCCAGTAGTAGCCGTCCTCGTCGCGGCGGGCCCCGTCCCCCGTCAAGTAGTACCCCTCCACGGGGAAATACACCTGCTCGTAGCGTTCACCGTCGCCGAAGATGGTACGGGCCTGCCCCGGCCACGGACGCTTGATCACGAGGAGCCCCTCGCCGGGGCCGTCGATCTCCTTCAGCGTCGTTGCGTCCAGCAGGCCCGGTTCGATGCCGAAGAACGGCAGCGTCACGCTTCCCGGCTTCAGCGGCGTGCAGCCCGGCAGCGACGTAATGAGGTGGCCGCCCGTCTCTGTTTGCCACCAGGTGTCGCTGATGTCCACGTGGCTCTCGCCGACCACCACGTAGTACCACCTCCACGCCTCCACGTTAATCGGCTCCCCGACGCTGCCGAGGACGCGAAGCGTCGCGCGACTCGTCTTCTTGACGGGTTCATCGCCAAACTGCATGAGTGCCCGAATGGCAGTTGGGGCAGTGTAGAAAATTGTGACGCCGTGCTTGTCGACGAGCTCCCACCAGCGGGAGGGCGTGGGGTACGTTGGGATCCCCTCAAAGAGCACGGAGGTGGCGGCGTTCAGCATGGGGGCGTACACCAGGTACGTGTGGCCCGTGATCCAGCCGATGTCCGCGGTGCAGAAGTACACGTCGTCCTCGTGGTAGTCGAAGCTGTACTTGAAGGTGGTTCCCGCGTACACCATGTATCCCCCGACGGTGTGGACGACGGCATTTGGCTTGCCGGTGCTGCCCGAGGTGTAGAGCATGAAGAGCGGGTCCTCCGCGCCCACCCACTCCATGGGGCAGTCCTCCAGCTGGGAGGCGGTCACCTCGGCGGCCACGTCACCGTACCACCGATCGCGGCCCTCCTGCATTGCGATCTTCTCCCGGTTGTACCGCTCATACACGAGACATTGGACCCGGCGGCCGTTGCGCTCGCACCCGGCGATGGCCTCGTCTGCGACCTTCTTCAGCGGAATGGGCTTCTCCCCACGGGCAGACGCGTCCGCCGTGATGAGAAGCTCGCTGCCGGAGTCCATGATGCGCGAGGCAAGCGAGTTGGCGGAGAAGCCGGCGAATACGACCGAGACAACGGCGCCGAGCCGGGCCGCCGCCAGCATGACCTGCACCGTGAAGGGAATCATTGGGAGGTACAAGGTGACCACGTGGCCCTTACGAATGCCATACCGGTGCCGCAGCACAGCTGCCAGCCGCAGAACGGCCTCATGCATCTCGCCGTACGTCACCGTGCTGCTTTCCCCCTCCGCGTTACCCTCCCAGTAGTAACACACGCGGTCTTTATGCTGTGGGAGGTGACGGTCGAGGGCGTTGTAGCACATGTTAGTCATCGCGCCATCAAACCACCTCACAAAGACTCTGCCTTTGCTCTTGTGGTAATTGTACTCCAGCACCGGCTTGTCTGCGGGCCAC